TATGAGTCGAACTTAGAGGAGGTGGAGGACCCTGGACAAGGTGTCGACTTCGAGCAGGGCGAGGAGAGACTGGTTGGCCACCGGGTGGCGGCAGAGCATTGGATCAAAGGGAATGTTCAGGAAAACATTTGGGAGTTGTTTCAGGATGCTTGCAGGCGAAGGGCTACTCGACGGAAAGAACAACGGAGTAACTACAGGAGGTGATTACGAGCAGCTGATGCTGATTAAGATCCTCCCCTGATTATAAAAGGGACTGTTGTTGCAGGAGTCAACGTTCTCGTTCATGTTCACGAATTAAGAGAAACAAACTTGGAGAAGTAGGTTTGCTGGAAGAAGCCTGTTTGCAGTGCTGTGTTTGTTTATAGGACTTTTTGCCAGAGCGATTATCTATTTGTTTATTTTGGGCTTGCAGCCAACAAGAGTCTGAACTGATTAAAACATTCTTTCGGACGTCTGTTTTGGCTTCGTTCCTGGACGGAGAAGGGGGGGGGGTCAGAACAGTTACCATATTTTTCAGACTATAAGACGCACCGGTGTATAAGACACACCAAGATTTCAAAGACGTAAGTAAGAAAAAAACGTTTTTGTCCTCCCCGGCCCCGAGGAGCACTCTGCAGGCTTCAGCAGGTCTGGGGAAGGCAAAAACACCCCGTTTTTGTGGGAAAAGGGGCGTTTTTCAGAAAAATGGGATGCAGGGCTGGGGCTTCAGGAGGCCCAAAAATGGCTGTATTTAGTTTATAAGATGCACCAACATCTCCACACTCTTTTAGGGGGGCGGTGTCTTATACTCCGAAAAATAGTCGTTTGTAGTTTCTTCCCCAAAGTTTTTGCCAACTGTCTAATTCTCTAGTGTATCCAAAATTTTTGGCCCATACTATCATGGTTTACATGTTGTTCTTCCATTTTAAAATTAAATAAGTAACTATATATTTTCTTTATTAGTTTATCATCTGTCCCTAAAAATATCTGATGTAGTTCTATGGGTTCTTTATAGAAGCCATATATTTCTGCATCGTTCTTGTATCTCGTTTGTATTTGGATATATGGCCACCAGTCCAAATCGATTCCTTGATTTTTTAGTTCCTGTTTCGATTTTAAGTCCCCTTGTTTGTTTAGGATATCTTTATACCTTACGATTTTTTCCAGTTCAAGAACATTTGGAGGTATTAGCGCTTCCATTGTGGATAGCCAGACTGGTATTTTCATGTAATGTTTCTGTTTGATTTTTTCCCATACTGAAAGCAGAGCATTCCTGATATAGTGCCTTTGGAAGTATCTGTGTATTTTACTTTTCCCATACCACGTAAATTTGTGCCACCCTAATTGTAAGTCATGTCCTTCTAAGATCAATATTCTTTTGTTTTTCAACTTTATCCATTCTTTCACCCATGTGAGTGCTGAAGCCTGGTAATACAGGTCCCAGTCCGGTAGCCCAACCACCCCACCCCCCAATTATTTTTGATGTCTTGTAGCATTTTCGGTTTGATTCTTGGCTTTTTGCCTTGCCAGACGAACTTTAGAATCAATTTGTTTAAGTCCACAAAAAACTTTTTCCCTAGTTTTATCGGAATTGCTTGAAATAAAAATAGCAATTTCGGTAGGATATTCATTTTTTTTTTAATAAAAATTTTTTTTTATTTTTTTTTGTTACATAGACAACACATACCCACATAACCACAATAATGAAAAGAAAACAAAAACAAAAACAAAAGCAAAAAACAAAGNCTGGACTAGAACTGGACTCCTGGGGGCTGCCAGGACTAGAACTGGACTCCTGGGGACTTCCTGGACTAGAACTTGACTGCTGGAGACTTCCTGGACTAGTACCTGCCGTTTTCTTGGCAAGGTTCCAGAGATGGCTTGCCATTGGCTTCTTCCTAGCGCTGACAAAGAGTGAATGGCCCAAGGTGACCCGGCTGACTTTGTGCCTAGGCACTAGAACTCACAGCCTCCTGGTTTCTAACCTTGTTGCCTTAACCACTAAACCCCTGGTGTAGTCTCAGAAAAATTAGTGGAATTATTGCCGGGCTGATTTTGAGCAACAAGAAAATGACTTACGTCTCTTTAGGAATATGATGCAAAGTTTATTATTTGCATTTGAAGTAGCACAGCCAGTGGAATCCATTAGATGAGGTATTTGCATTATCAATGTATACTCACCATACATAACCCTCCTCCAACTACACCAGATGTTCCTTTAAACAGAGGCAGGGAAGGGGAAATATGCTATGGCAGACTGAAACACATTAGAAGCATTCATCTGTCCCATATCATGTAACCAAAGGTGGGGATTCGAAGATGAGGTTATCTCCCACCACCTTGCATCTTTTCCTTAGTATCAACAATGGTAAAGCATTTGATCTTCATAGTTTGCATAAACCATGTTTCTGAAACGACTATGAACACACAGTGGTATCTTGGTACTCAACTGCTTTGAAACTCATCCAATTTGATACAATGTATTTTGGGGGGAAAAACATTTCCCCCCGATACTCATCATTTGTTTGGTACATAACACACAAGCTAGAACATGTCTGCCTTGTGACACACTGTATTATTCCTTATGCAAAAATTGTTTGGCATTCATCATTTTTGGTACTTATTGCGCTTCCCAGAACCACTTAACGATGAGTACAGAGATACCACTGTATTCTGAAAATATCTCGCATCTAGTAAACTCAACTCGTCATTTCAAAGAAGTTTGAAACGCGCTCAGAGGTCCCAAGCAGGGATGCTAACGGTTTTGGGAGAGCAACTTTTACTGTCCAAATCCTCCACCTTCAGCCCGCGGTGAACTGCCTGCCCATTTTTGGTCAGGAACAAGCCTGCTTTCAAAACACTGCTTTCTCCAGAATCGGAGGGCTGCACCGAATCAGAGCCTTGAACTTCGACGAATATCCGATTGCGTGCTCTAAAAAGAGGCCTGCCGTGATTGCGATCAGAATACGTTTCTTGGTGTTCCTTTTCTGCCGAGCAAAAGTGGATGTTGAAAGCAGCTTGGAATCCTCTCCGGAAGTTTTCATTGAAGTACCCATAGATGATTGGATTGATGCTGCTGTTAAAGAAAGCCAGCCAGTGGGCAAATGGGAAAAAATAAACCGTGATGAGGCTGAGCTGATGGTAGTTCAGGTTCCCATAATCGGTCAGCAGCATTAAAATCCAAAGGGGCAGCCAAGAGAGACTGAAGAACAACGCCACAATAATCAGCATATTGACCACTTTTATTTTCCTCTTGGAGATCCTTCTTCCCTCACTGTCCTCCGACTGGGAGCCTCTTACAGGTGCGGAGGACTTGAAGAGCTTGAAGGCAATCCGCGCATACATGATCACAATGGCGATGAGAGGGCCAAGATAAATGTGCGAGAAGAGGACAGTGGTGTAGATCTTGCGCATTTGGGGGTTTGGCCAGGCCTCCCAGCAGGAGTAAAAAGGGTAAGAGTTATTATAAGCATCCAGCATGAAGTGGTTTTCATCTCGGGTGACAGTCAAGGTCACTGCGGAGGGGCACATAATGATGAAGGCTAAGGCCCAGATGATGATGATGATGATCAGAGCTACTTGTAGGGTTAGTTTTTGTCTGAAAGGATACACAATGCAGCGGAACCTGGAAGAAAAAGAAGAAGTGGTCGGCTCAAATATCGGAACCGCTGTTTGAAACAAGCTTTCTTTTGCGGTTTGCACTTGTACTGCAATTGCACTTAGACTTATATACTGCTTTACAGTGCTTTACAGCCCTCTCTAAGGGGTTTTACAGAGTCAGTATATTGCCTCCAACAATCTGGGTCCTCATTTTACAGACTTTGGAAGGACGGAAGGCTGAATCAACCTTGAGCCTAGTGAGATTCGAACTGCCAAATTGCAGTCAGCCGAAGTAGCCTGCAGTACTGCACTCTAACCAGCGCACCACCAAGGTTTGCTGTAATATCTACTCAACCATCTATTGGGAAGAGTTTTCCCATCTCTTGGGAATCTTTAGATCTCTGCCTGGCGTGTTAATTATAACATGCAATCAACCAACATTATTAAAAAGGAATATTTATTACAACTTGATAACAAGCACTCATTGGCAAACAATAGTGCATTAAGGAAAGGGAAAAAAAAACACCACCAAAAGATTTAGAGAGACCTGGGCTCAAATTATTCTTCTGCTGCAAACCATCAATTTTTATTACTCAACCCAACCTACCTTGCAGGAATTACTGTGATTGGATAATCCCAATATAAAAAAATAATCATATAATAAAATTTGTCAGAAAAAACACTGACAATATCTTCCTGATTTTAAATTTATATATTTAGATATTAACATCTCACCACCTAGGAGGTTCATCCTATATATTAACATAAATTCATAATATAAATTTTATAAGAATAACTAGATTGATAGATGATTTATAGATGATAGATAGACGATAGATAGATAAATGATAGATAAATGATAGATAGATGATAGATACTAGATAGATAGATAGCTGTAGATGTGATTGATAGATAGATAGGTAGGTAGGTAGGTAGGTAGGTAGGTAGGTAGGTAGGTAGG